CCGTCCCGATGATGCCACAGAGGAAAACTATAATGGGGTGTGTCTAAGGACACGAGATCATCGGATTCGTCGAGGATAGCCTTCGTTCAGAAAGTAAGGGAAATTTACGTTGCTGCTAATTGGTCAATCTCCATATCGGTGGTTAGGAAAAGATGCTAGCCGCCCTCGAGGGAAAGTTGCTAGTGGGAGACGCCGTTCGTTGAAAAATAGGTCTCCCCTATCTTCCCGTAGTTGGGACAAAAACTGTTTGTCTGTTTGAAGGATTTTGGTTAACTAAATCTTGAGATTTATAACGGGCCCTCAGGCTAGCTGAACATGTACTGCGGAGACGCATCGACATCTGGCAATCATCTTACTCGAAGAATAGGGTCTGCGTGTGGCGAGCCACGGTAGTTGGGACAAAGACTGTATGTCTGTTTGAAGGACTTTAGTTGACTAAATCTTGAGATTTATAACGGACCCTCGAGCTAGCCGAACATGTACTGCGGAGACGCATCGACATCTGGCAATCATCTTACTCGAAGAAGAGGGTCTGCGTGTGGCGAGCCACGGGACAGAAACCGTTGGAATGTTTACTGCCGCGTGCCGCTACAAATATTTCTTTTAAGAAGAGCTATACAATTACTCCATGCCTTTGTTAGACAAAGCGTTCATCCCGTGACCGCGGCTACGTTCGGCGACCGGCTGTCGCCTCGCGCCCAAGCTCCCTATCACTATCACAGCTCTCGAACAATTACAATCGGATTGAATAACTACAATTGTTTAATTACAGCTATAGCAGATTCTAGATTACAATGTTGCGGGATGATCCAAAATTCCAAAGGCTCCAGTGTTCTTTCATCTTCGGCATACGTAACGAGAATTTACGACTCCCGTTGGCGTGCTTCCTCGCGATTGCGTCTCTCCGCGAGTGGTCGAAACAAATGGTCCTTCGAGTCGGATGCGTGTCAGTGAAAAGGTGCACTTACCAGTGACCACACAGCGCCACGTAAATAATTCATAATCAGCAGCGGAAGCGTTATAACTGTAACGAAGTCAGTGACGTCAGGTGCGCCACCTTCGAAGAGGCATAACCCGTAGGTCGAGGAACGCAACCATGCAACCTCCCGCTGCAGCTGGACAATTGTCAACATAGCAAGTTCCAATAACTTCAATCTCACTTCATGCGTGTCGCCTTCGGGAAGGATCACCTTCCTTGCGAAGTGCACGTCAACGAAACTCCGCTGCACAGTCATAAGCGACATCTTACAGCCGGAACAACTTCTGTCTCAACAATGCAAGTGTCACTTTTGGGAAGGAACACCTTCCGTGCCAAACAAATACTCAACCTCTTGCCAACAACCGATAGCCGGACCGACGTCCGCACCGCGACTGCATGATAAGCTCATTTAAATTATCAAAACCCCTCATGGCTTCCAATCCGGAAGAGCGCGCAAGACAGTTGTTATGGAAACGAGAAGGATTCAGGAAAGAATTAGAAGCTCTTCGCATATTGCTCAATAATTATGAGAAAGGGACATCCACACATGCTATCCAACGTAATTTAAGCGACGTGGAGGTAGAATTTACAGCGTTCAAAGAAAGTTGATGTGAATTAGACGATAGGGATGAAGGTCAAACACAGCAGGACTATGTTGACTTACAACAGATGTTTTATACTATTACCGGACACGCGTCTGCTATCATTAGTAATGCAAACAAGCAATCAGAGCCGATAATTCGAAGCCTTACCACGAACTTATCGAACATTTCATTGCTGGATTCCGTCGATTTACCGAGAATTCGACTACCTACCTTTTCGGGAGCCTACGAAGATTGGCCAGGTTTCGCAGATCAATTTCGCTCCACAGTTCACGATAACCTTCATATTGATGACTGCAAACGACTATTGTATCTCCGTTCTTGTTTAACGCATGGAGCGGCTCTCGCTACATCATCGCTAAGTAATGTGGCAATTAATTACTCAGCCGCGTGGGAAATACTGGAACAAAGATACAACAGACCAGCTAAAATCGTAGAGAAATACTTGCAGGAGATAATTGACACGACCTCCTTATCATGGACAGCACATCGAGATTTGCAGTCCTATACAACCAAACTAGAGTCACATTACAAGGCCTTGGAAGCTCTCGGCCAACCGACCGCCGATGACTTGTTGTTATATCTATATACCTCTAAATTAGACACGGATACCGATTTAATATGGAAGGACAAGACAAAATCCACGCCATTCCCTACGTTCAAAGACTTCCTGAAGTTTTTGAACAATCGCTGTCAGGTCATCGAACCGGCAAGTACGACACGCCAAACACGTGGGGATGCATTTGTCACGTCCCAACTGCCGTCGCTCTGTCCAATTTGCCGTGGACCACACAAAATTTGGAGCTGCAATACCTTCAAGACGAAAACCATCGAAGAAAGTGTTATAGCCGCCCAAGAAATATCAGCGTGTACTAACTTCCTGACGACAGGACACACGCTTCAACGTTGTAACGCCGGATCCTGCCGCATATGCGAGCGATGCCACCACACGCTTTTACATAGATCCGACGCTCGAATTAAGGATCGGATTATCTTTGGCAACCGAACACCCCCGACAACACCTCCAAGCACAAGGCCCCGATGTGCGCCTGCCAAAAACGCGATTCGGATGGGTCATCGGGGGGAGCCCAATTTCTCCATTAACCGCAAGGGTCTTTCATACCTCTACGACGGATCTAGAAACAGACCTCACCCGCTTTTGCGAACTCGACGAGGGGCCACGGATAAAGTACATATCAGAAGCGGATCAACGATAACAATGGCGATGAAACGACTCGCTTCTCTCCATTACCAATTCCAGTCCTTGACAAGACTATTCGACGGATACGAACAGTCCAGCAAACAAAGCAAAAATCTCCTAAGGTTATATCGAAAACAAGTCGCCGACATTCGGATACAGTTTAACCTTGTCAATAAAAGGTTACTTGAGCTCTCGTTAAACCTGGACAAACGATTGTCAACGCTCACCACAACCAAGCCTTCCTCAATGGAAGTTTCCAAGACCATGGCGAATTCATAACCACCGGAATGCAGCAGCAACACGTCTATCAGTTTCCAGGGAAGTAATAATAATTTAAATGGCAACAACGTTCATTCGTCTGATCTTTGGCGGAATGTGAACTCCTTTCTGGATATTTTCGATCCGGTGCATTCTTTACATAATATCCACACGTTTATCACTGCCAAATCTAAAATATTGAAAAAAACTTGAAGGGGCCATCGGGAACTCTCTGCTTTCCCACTATATTTGCGTGCCATCTGGTCAACGATGTCTACACCAAACTTTGTTTTATTATAAAAAGCAATGGTTTCTGGAACATGCAATTGTCTTCTATTAGTATACCTGTATGTTTGGTGCTGAGAAGGAGAACTTTTACGTTAAGTTTACTTCTATACACAGTAAGCGTGCAGTTTTCTGATTTATATAAATTTGAGGAAAACAAAGTCATCTTGTCCTTTTTTCCCTTAAGCGCCGAGTTCTATCTTTTCCCATATAAGGGAAACCATTCAAAATATATTTTGTTTGGGCGTCAAACTGTTAACCAAAACTTAATGCCAAATTTATGAGGCTTATTCGGTATAGCTGACACGAGCGAGTATGGCAACTCAGGAGCAGGCACATGGATGGCAACGGCGCATGCAGCACACAGCAGCGAGATGAACGAGATAGGTGATAACGAAATAATGTGGCTATTAGATAGCGGTTGTACCGATCACATAATTAACGATGTAAATTATT